CAGAACATGAAGTTTAAAACAGGGAAATTATATCATTGGATTTATTTATTTTTTGTTATTATTAGATTTTGTTTCACTTACTTTTTGAGAGTTGATTTTTGAGCAAATGACCATGGTGGCAGGGTAGAGAAAGACAAGACAAAATAGTAAACACGTAAAAAACAAACTGGGTGGCCTTGGATAGTAAGAGCACATACTAAAATTTATTGAATGCCTACTGTGCGTCAGGTAGTATGCTAATGCTGTATTTATATAATTGCATTTAATTTTCACAGCATCCTAGTAAGAGAAGTGCTATATCATAAACTGAATTTTATAGAAAATGGAGATTGAAGAGTTGAAATGGCACTTCAAGGTCACACACTGGCTAGTGCCAGAACCAGATATTGAAGTTCCTTTGATTTTAGATTTTTCATGGGATTGCTCTACTATGTATGTTATTTCATTTCCCCGAGCCTCATTTCTCTGTGTGTAGCATGGAAAGAAAAATGTATCCCTTTTTTATATGTTCTTGGGAGGGCTTAATGCATAACGTACATGAAGGGACAAGTACAGTGTCTGATACATGGTAATCATAGCAATGGTACTAATTCTTCTTTTTTAGAATATGTTAGAGTATTAATTTGAAATTGACTTTGGAGATAAATAAAGTGAAGATTATTGTAGAAATTCTAATCTATTCTAAAAAGCTGGCTGGCTTCTACTGTCTGTACTAGACAGGCAGAATCTTTCTCTTATCTATGGACTTTAAATTTTATATAACCATATGCCTTATACTTTCTGAATACTCAATTTAGATCTGTTATTATGTATTATTCTATTACTTTTAATTCTGTTTATACTGGTATAAACTATAGTGTATGATAAGAATGGGGACTTTATCTAAGGCATAAACTTTCCTGTGTTAGAGGGGTTTTATATTACATTGCAGTTATCTGTTTTTCTGACTGTTTCTCAATAGACTGCAGATTTTCAAGGGCATTAGTCATATCTTGGTCATCCATTTTTCTCTAGAGTCTTTTGCGTGCTTGGTTCTTAATAGGTGGTTAATAAATGAGCTTTACCTGAAGAAAGAAATAATCGAATGAATGAAAGGCAATCCTATAATGTCTTGTGACATTATATTTGGGGCTATCCGAGGTCCTACCCATTTAACAAGGACTTATTATGACATTACTCTTACCAAATTCTCTAAGGCTTTATTAAACAATTATACCTACTAGAATTAGATGCTGCATATCGCAGGTGAAAATCAGTTACTCAACTGATTGAAAGTCAATAGTTCACATAGCTTATATCACAAAAGAATAACAATAATAATTCTCTTTTGTGTTCAAAAATAACCCATACCACCCTCCTTCCTCCGGCACTGGAGGGGGACTAGGGGTCTATTTCATTTGACTTAGGGAGCTGTTTCTCAAAGAGATACTAGGAGGCTCAGAATGTCTTTGCTTCTCTTACATGAGCTACAACCTGAGCACATCAGGAAACAGATTCCGAGTACTCCAATGCCATGCCCCTGCTGAGATAGAAGATAATAACATTCAGTGTTGAGGTTTCAGTCATTCCTGAGGCTGGACCATCTTGCTAGGAACTCACACAGTAACAGGGTTTAGATAATTTCCAGTTCTTACAGCCACCTCCCTGTTTAGGACTCTTTTTCACTTCTCCTGCAATCAGGAGGATTCTGCTCTGAATCACACTTAGACTGTCCACTGTGAAAATATGAAAAGATGACAAGTTATACTATATTCAGACATAAGGTTAAAAAAAAGCCTCTTCACATAAAGGGAAAACAGAAACGTATTTCAGGAAGCTAGCGTGCTATGGGCAAGTATTATATTCTCATTCCTTTCCCAGCATGAGGGTTGAGGGAGGAGGGCAAAAGTAAGGGAGCATCTGTCTAATGTTACAGTTCAGAAAATGTGCTCTGCTCTGCTTCAACTGTAAACATTGTGAAATGCTTTCTTTCCCCACCAGCCAACTTGGCTCTGGGATAATCATCCTAGGCATGAATTCATAGAGTACTATCCATTCTACATTTTTATTATAGAAAACAGGCAAATGAAATGTGGAGTGACACTCTTGGTTTTCTGTGGTTGTTTGAGCTCCCCTTAGCTCCTCCCTAGAACTGGTTGTTCAGTAGTGGCTACAGAAGAGTCCCAGATGTTTGCAGAGTAAATGTGATGCTTGGCTTTGACTCCTGGAAGCAATGGAGGGTGGAGTAGGGATGAGTTTCCAAAAAAAAAAGCCTTATTTATTGACCCTAAAAATACCTTATAAAAGCCTCGCCTACATAGAGTTAACCTTTCTCCAGCCCTTCCATTCAACTCCTGAGTAAGCAAATTTGGATTAACTACTCCAAACCCTTACTTAGAAACTGTTTCCATCACAGTGATCTGCTCCCTGACATCTTTTCTCTTAATGTTCATTTTAAACTTATTCCTCCTGGATAAATATTACGTGTGTGCATGCATGTGTGTCTGTATTTATATGAACAAATGTGAAGTTGGAAAAAAAGACACCAAGGCCTTGTGAATTTTGGCCTCTCTTTTCATAGGTCTCTAGGCCTTTTCTACTCTTCAGGGAAAGCTTAAGTACTACATGTCTCTTCTCATCTCTCTCTCTGTCGTGTGTGTGTGTGTGTGTGTGTGTGTGTGTGTGTGTGTGTGTGTGTGAGCGAGAGAGAGAGTGTGTTTTTATACAGTGCTAAAGAAATGAGAAGGAAGAGATACTAGGAAGGGAAGATCATTTGTTCCCAATTAACTCTGCTTATCTGTGTGGCTGAGGTGGTTGCTCCAACAGACTTGTATTTATTGTAGCTTGCATGATTCCCCTTTGTTCCACAAGGATATAGCAATGTAATAAGCCTTTTCATTACCTTGGCTATATCCAAACAGGTGAGAAAGCAAAAATTAAATGATATCTTGCTGTTGCACAGAAACTCAGGCGTTTCTTTCTGGAGATACATCAGATGGCTACCTTTGTATATCTGGACCTGACCCAAGGAAGCCTGGAGTGTTTATCTGGGATCTCCTACTCTCTGTGTAGCACCCTCTCTGACCCTTTCCCCCATTCTCAATCAAGACAGCCTTGAGCAAATCTGATTTCTGGGATGATCAGATCTGAAGTTCTAAGCATTCACTAAGCACTGCTAAGAGCATTGCATAGCATAATTGAAACCAAACGCTTGCCACAAACAGCCCCATGTCATCTCCTAGATGAACAGATTACTAAAATACCAGTTCATGCACTGGCTTCATTGAGATGACCTAGGAAACTTGCTCCATGACAGATTGTTACATTGTATTGCCCAGTATTTTGCCTCAGTCTGTTTGATAGTCAGCTAAGTTTGCCAGGTTTGGGAACTCCATTTTTATACCTCAAATTAGAAGTCACTCTGGAAACATCCCTTCAGCCCTCATTCGGTGAAGTCACTTTCACCTTGTCCAGCTTACTCTGGTGCTGTTTGCCTAATTTTCAAGGACAGGAATTATGCTACTTTGTTATATCTAAGTGGAAGGAAAATAGAAGCCCCAGCAGCAGTCTGTTGAGTCACTCACAAAAAATGATCCTCTGGGGCTCATTTTGCAGACACACTGAGATCCAAAGATAGCTATACAGAGGGATTGTTGGCATAAGGCCATAAGATACACCAATGTGCACACATAAATGCCTACACATGTACACCCACTATCATTGCTCTGTCTCTGAGAGCCATGGACAAAGCTGTCCAAGCTTTTGGCCAGGGCTGTTATGAATGCTTGCTCAGACTGTATGCTGAATAGTTCTGGACACCATTTCATAGACCGCAATGTGAATGGTCCTCCAGCAGTTGTGCAATGTGGTGGGCCTTGGAAAAATTTAGTCTTTATTTCCAAAACAGGAAGGAGCCCACCACTGAGGAAGCAAACATGATGTTTGGGGTGAAATTTCCACAGGATTTTCTTCTTGTTATGCAGTTAGGTGGCAAGCTCTGCTCTCAGCACATGCACACGCATATGCACACACTCTACTTACTGGATTTTTCCTTTTCTCCAATCCAGAATGATTTGCTAAAGTTTCCTTCCATACCCCTACACCACAGATGGATTGGGAAATGCCATAACAAATTAGAAGTGGAGAGTTAAGTCATGGTAAGTGACTCCTCAACCCAAGACTCTTTCAACATTCTGGAACTGTTTAATGTCAATCTTGACTGTCTTTTTCTCCAGAGCCCTTTTCTCAAAACCAAGTCCCATGCAATAAAGCACGTTTATTTCATGCAACACAGTTTAGCTAATGCTTATAGTTCCAAATACTCTGGTTTACTAGGTACAACTCAGTCGGGAGTGCCTAGTATAAAGGAACATGCACAGCACAGCGACAGAGAATGCTCATCACCAACACAAGGAAGTAAAGGAGATGCAAAGCTATGGTAGCTAGAGGAGGATTAGCTTTCCTGATTTCAGTTTGAGAAAAGCCACGTGTCTCTACAGTCCACTAGTTTGGCAAGGCATTTGCACTTGGCTGTGAGATGATGTTACTTTCAAAGTAAGTCATATTAATTTCCAGGCTTGTCCAGGATTGGGGCTGGAGTCTTCCCTCAATTGTAGTCCTTTCCTTAAAACCAGTTCTAAGCTTTTGCATTTCTTTTATTAAGTGATTGAATAGCCCTGGAATATGAGTTTCCTCCAATCTCTTCCACTTTGCAAACTCCAGAACCATTTGACCAATAAGTTAAAACCCAGAGGAGGACTGACTGTGAGCTAAGGCTTCAGACATGCAAAGCGCGCAACCCTGGGAAACAGCAGCATCTGGGACAGGAGGCTCCCATTACTTCACATGAGGACGTCATAGGTTTTACAAAGCAAACACACACAGAAAACCAGTAGTGGCCCAAGTTGGACACACTGTCTGGGATGCACAGTTAAGTGAGGACCCAGACCAGGGAGCCACCTGTTCCTCTAGCTTGCATACATTTATTTCACACCACCTCAGACCACTCATAGTTTTCTTACCTGCTCATTGTTGCTCTCCCACCATTCCCCATACTCCCTTTGTGGGTGAAACACTCTATTTCCGACTTGTGCTGGGCCAGTCTCCTGTCTTTGTACCTGGTGAGCATGAACAAGGACAGGAGCAAACAGAAAGACGTGATTGTGTGCTTAACTGCCAGGCTGAGGAAGGGCCGTGACTGTGGAGATGGTCACCCTGTGCCAAAACAGGGGTTCCTGTTCTTAATGCAATGATCAACCTGTGATACTTATTAGATTATTGTGATGGGATATGGCCAGACAGCATCAGGGTTGACATTGTTACTTTTTGGCTAAACCGCATGTAACCCATTCTTTCACACTGCCTGTTAAATTTATCACATTTAATATTCAATGGTAAAAGGAGTGCAATTTCAAGCATCTTAGAAAAAGATGAATATCAGTCAATACATTAGAATCTATGTAGTGCTTGCCATATATCAGACACTATGCTAGAACTTTACCTAAATTGTATCCTGGAAACTGCCCTGGGCCAGAGGCTTTGTTATTGTTTTCATTTTACTGATGAAGAAACCTAAGATTATAGAGGTTAAGTAAATTGATCAAAGATACATAGTAAGTGGTTGGGCTGGATTCTGAATACAGGGAGTCTAAGTTTGGAACCCACACTTTAGCCATTGTAATGTGTTGCCTTCCATTACCAAGTTGTTGTTGTTGTTGTTTTTCTCTTTTTGAGACTAAGTCTCACTCTGTTGCCCAGGCTGGATTGCAGTGGCAGCATCTCATTTCACTGCAACCTCTGTCTCCTGGGTTCTAGCAAGTCTCCTGCCTCAGACTCCTGAGTAGCTGGGACTATAGGCACCCGCTGCCACACCTAGATAATTTTTGTATTTTTAGTAGAAACAGGGTTTCACTGTGTTAGCCAGGATGGTCTCTATTTCTTGACTTTGTGATCTGCTTTCCTCAGCCTCCCAAAGTGCTGAGATTACAGGTGTCAGCCACTGTGCCTGGCCCCATTATCAAGTTTTTAAGCTAATTGTTATCTTGAACAAGCCCTCATTGAATGATACGATTCTGGATGCTGTTAGATGTTGGTAATAACAGAAGTGAGAAGATATGTTCTTTGGGTATGAAAAGTTTCTATAACCATTAAGCTGAAGTATGACTGTCAGTATTTGGAGGCCTCCATTTTAGAGTGTGGCTTAAGCAGCTTTTGCATTGTATTTGGAAGTTCACTGCCCTTGGAAGATACTAGATACTTCATCTAAAATAAGTGATGAGATTCCCAGCATTACTCTTCTATGTGGTGCATCAAGATAACGTCTTGTACCTCAATGACAGTTTTTCGAGCCAACATGATTCCACAGAAATCACCTTTTTTATTCATTGGTTCAACTCCATGAGGTTGTTAAAAGAGAGCTGTTATTTCCACTTGCCAAATAAGAAAGCTAGATTTACTTAGCTGACTTCATGAAAGTCACATGCCTCATCAGCAGAGAAAATCACCAGTAGAGCTTGCAGGGGCCCAGGACTCTTAAGGCTTTACTACCTTTTTGCTAATTAAGCTAGAGCCTGGTATGACACCACTTCATTCACATTCCTGGCATCCAATAGGCAGTGATAAAGGGAGTTACGAAATGAGACTTGTTCACCTCAGTACAGTCAAAATCCTTTGTTTCTATTCCTGGTGTTTCAAAAGTATTATAAAATGAAACAAAATGCAACAAAGTCAAGATCATTACTGATCCTGGGGCAGAGGCCTTCCTTTTCATTTTTTTCCCTTCCAAAATGTTTAAAGTATCTAATATTTGAAGAAAAATGGCTTATTACATCAAGCCAAATGAATTTAATGGACTACCTATTTAGCAGACATTAGTTGAGCATTTATTAAATCCTAGGTAATGGACTTAACACTACAGATATAAAGATAAGTAATATGCAGATCCTGCCTGATAGAACTTACTTAACAGTAGGAGAAGGACGAAAGAAGAACAATGTACACAAGATAGACATCTTTAAATGCAGGCATAAAGAAGGAAGGAAAAGAACTTAGGGACCTTGTCAAAGGAGGTAAAGCGTCAGACCAAGCTAGATAGAGTAGACTTAATTTTACCAAAGAAAATACCTTAGAAGTAGCAATGGTTTGCAATGTGGCAGTGATGCCCCACATTTCAATGCAAAGTTTTTTGTGCTTATTTGTGAATTGAATAGTTCAACCAAAATACTGCTCTACAGCTTAAATGAATATTGATAGAATAATAAATTATTGGTGGTCATTCAGTTCCTTACAAAGGGATCCTTAACATATTTTTGAATACCTTCTGTTAGGCTAGTTGTGAATTAATCATTAAATATTTCACAAATGAATTAAGAAACCTACAGTCTTCATGCTTATAAGCTCTTTTCTCTCTTTCCCTTTCTCTCATGACCACAGACACACTCTTCCAGGTGACCTCTGTTTATGAAACATGGAATAGATTCTAAGCATCCTATTCTATAAATCTTTAACCTCTGTGAAGAAAAAGGAATGCTTATACACTGCTGGTGGGAATGGAAATAGTTCGGCCACTGTGGAAAGCAGCTTGGCAATTTCTCAAATAACTTAAAATAGAGCTACCATTTGACTCGGAAATCCCATTCTGGCGCATATAACTAAAGGGATAAAAATCTTTCTACCATAAAGACACATTTATGTATATGTTCACTGCAGCACTATTCACTATAACAAAGTCAGGGAATCAACCTAAATTCCCATCAATGATAGACTGGATAAAGAAAATGTGGTACATATGCATCATAGAATACTATGCAGTCATAAAGGGAATGAGATCATGTCCTTTACAGTAACACTGATGGCACAGGAGGGCATTATCCTAACCAAACTAATGCAGGAACAGAAAACCAAGTACTTCATGTTTTCATTTATAAATGGAAGCTAAACTTTGACTATGCATGGACACAAAGGGAACAATAGACACTGCGGCTGTCTTGAGGGTGGAAGGTGGGAGGAGAGTGAGGATCAGAAAACTATCAGGCACAATACTTATTACCTGGCTATGAAATAATCTGCACATTATACCCCTGCGACATACAACTTACCTGTCAAACAAACCTGCACATGTACCCCGAACCTAGAAGATTAGAAAAACAATAGAAACAAGACAAAAACCAAAAATAAAAGCTAACTGCTTTTGGTGAAGGCTTTCACTGACATACAAAAAACAACAAAATAATGAAAATACAAAACAATATCAAAACTCATTTTAAAAATGTGAGCAATATCTTAGACGTTTTGGAACTTTCAAGCAGTTTTTGTATCTAATGAAAGCTGAAAATGGCATTAATACAGAATGGGTGACTCATCTTTGCTTTCAAATAGGACCCTTCTTGTCTGTCTGTACCTGTAATTACATTCACCAGATATTTAAATAGACCACAATTTATTCATTCACTTATTATCTCATCACTTGCTCTTTATCCCATTCACCAATAATGTGCTGTTCAAAGTTACGAATAGCTTTAATAGTGTCTACTGTTGAGTTTAAAAACTCAACACTTTTTTCCAGTTGAGTTTATTTTAGAAATATAGAATTATCAATTAAAAATAGTTTAAGCTTTTCAGAATTTATAGTTCATGAAATATCAATTAAATTTCATTTATTTTACATAATAAATTCATATATATTTTAGACACTAAAACACACATCCACTCATACTTGTGAGGCACTGTTTTAAGTGCTTTGCAAGTATTAACTCACTTTTCAAATGAAATATTTAATATACTATAGTTATATTCAAAGTTATAATATAAAGTAATAATGAAAAAATATTGAGCATGCCAGGCTGTTTTCTGTACACTATTGTAAATTATTAAAACATCCATACAAAGCAGGTGCTATTATATTCATTCTGAAAAGACAGACACTGAGGATCAGTGTCAGTAAGCCCAAGCTCATGTGGTTTACGATCAGGGAGCCCAAGCTGAAAAATCAGGTTTCTCTGATTCTAAAGCTCATGCTATTTCTGTTCATTTTTCCTATAAGTGACAATGTTAGTATATTTAAAAACAAAATTACAAAAACTCATATTTACCTTTTCTCTTCTTGACTCTATGTTGCAAATAATTAGCAGAGCTATCAAGGACAGCCAGGAGAAGATCTGGTGATAGGACTTTAAATTTTCTTCCTTCATTTAGGTCCCTATACCTGTACCATGCAGGTTTAGTTTACATCATTCAAAGCCATTTACTAAATAGTCCGTGTGCTGGGCACTGTGATAAGGAGCACATGGGTGACTATGTCATTGATAAGGTCACAGTCTTGAGTGAGAAGATAAAATGTAAACAGATAATTTCCAAACAATGTAAGAAGTTCTGTTATAGAAACAAACACGAGAAGGGCTACTTAACCCGTATGAGATTGGCAGACAACACTTCAGTGAGATACGATACCTAAGACAAATCTGAAAAATTGAGTAGACATGCACTGCGAAAGATGAGCAGGGATAGAAGAGAGAATCAAGTGCAAACATGTAAGGAGACGTAGCCGTATTATGTATACTACGAAACAGTTAAGTAATTTTTATTGTAATAAGTATAAAATAGGAGGTCTATGGGAAAGCAGATGGAGAAGTATATAAAAATGATGAATTTACTTGTTGATTATGATATGTCATTGTGGAATCTTTGTACTAGATAAAACAGAGTTGACAGTAAAATGCAATGGACTTGAAGGAATAAAACTAAATAAATACTACTACAATTATGCATGTGAGACATGATAAGCTAATGCTTAGGGAAGTGATAATACAGATGGTAAATAGAGTGTAGTCTCAGGACAATTTAGGAAGCAAAAATGAGTAGGATTTACTGAGTTATGAGCATAATAGGGAGAAGTATGGAATGCTATCCCAGTTACTACAATACAACTACAGTTACTGTGTTGGATGGTACAATTAACTGAGTTAAGAAAATACAAGAGAAGAAATATATTTGGAGAAGGAAATAAAAAGCTTCATTTTGGAATATTTGGTTTGAGATGCTGGTGAGACATCCAAGTGGACGTATTCAGTAGACATATGAGTATAAACATTTGGAGGTTAGAGGATTGTTATACACAGGG